GTGTTAAACAATATACCATGACGCGAGAGATTAATTTATCGACTTATTATTTTGGAGTGTACTACGACGGTACCTACAACACTACTATCGTATTTATTTACCACGTTGTAAGTTCAAATTACCGTCGTATTTGTTCTATTTATACGTCTGCCTTCTCTGTAACCGCCGTCTTATTTTTATTGCTTTTTAAAATTAATTAATTTTTCTTTTATTTTGGTAATCCTCAACAACATTTTCGTCTTAAAAGGCAAATCTCTACTGATCAATATTTAAAAGGCAAATCTCTACTAATCAATACATCGTGGTTTCTTTTCTGCCTTCACCCTCTCAATTGTTTCTTCCTCTCATATGCAAGCTGGGCCCTCTCCTTCCTCTTGTTCTCAAGCTCCTGCACAGCCACATATCAATATTTAATAGGAGCAATATTTAAAAGGCAATTTACAGCACCAAAAATCACTAGTGATTAGCAATTTACAGCACCAAAAATCACCTCACTCACATCATATAAACATGACAAATCCAAGTTACTGAAAAGCAAACACTATCATGCAATTGTGTCTAGCGACGAGAATCTGACTACTAATCCAAAGCCTAATACACCCTAAACCCCCTAAACACCACAACATCACATTGGTGACCTGGATTTGCACACAGTAGCTTAGTAATTGCATATACTGATATGCAATTGCAAGACACTACTTGCAAGTGCATCAGCCCTCCATTATAATATTGCACAAATAATGCACACAACCCACTCATGCATTTCAAATCCAAATCCAAATATGAACTAATCCTAACATTACACTTTCGGAACACTTTACGCTTCATAACAAAATATTCAAAAACACTGTCAAATCTACCTACCTACCACGAAAACCCCTCACTTGCATAATTTAAAAACAAAACTATATACTGTAATTGCATTCAGTGACTTGGAGTTGCATACAAGCGATTAGTAATTGCATATAGACATATGCAATTGCATGACAGTATTTAAATTTGCATGAACATTACAACCAACAATGTAGGATACCCACTTCACGTCACCACACTTTCACAATCAGAAACCCACTTCATCTCATGAATGTCAACAACCTACTTCCCCTCTTGCCCCAAGTTATCACCACAAAATTTCAATTAACAATAACATAAAACAAAGTGTTAACTTACTTTCACAATGAGCTAATACCAAATGCTTTCACAAGGGATCGATTGCAGATGAGAGGAGTGCCAACAACCCACCAATGACTGGAAAAACTCAATTCCAATTCCTATTATCAACCTGAAATGCTAACCCCTAAAATTATCACCAAAATCCAAGCCCTAAAATAAGGGGGTTTTGACAATGATGACAAAGAAGAGAGAGATGTTGCAGAGAGGAGGAAGACCACGAAGAGGATGACTTTGAAGACCACGAATAGGAGTTCAAGAAGATGACTTTGAAGACCACGAATAGGAGTTCAAGAAGAGGAGTTGAAGAAGATATTGAAGACCACAAAGAAATCAATTTGAAGTTCAACCAGATGTTGCAGAGAGGAGGAAGATCACGAAGAGGATGGATTTGAAGTCCATGAAGAGAAGTTGAAGAAGATGACTTTGAAGACCAAGAAAAAATTAGTTTGAACTTCAGCCATATGAGCTTAGGGAAGAAGATGACGTTGATGCGCGTGAAATCTTTCACTTGTTGACCTGCTGCTCAGGTTTCCCTTGTTTTTAAAAACAAGCACAGTGACTGGCCAAACGTCAAGGGGTTTAAATGAAATTCTCACTATTGCTGGCCATTCAAGTATTTTCGTTAAGTTTCTGGAAATCCGGTCCCACATTTCTTTACTTTGTACGAAAATCTTAACATCGGTTTGTTTTTTTTACCCATTTCCTCTTTTCCTTTTTCTTTTTACAAAACTTCAAGGGCCAAATGATGAGCCCTTCGTACTTGTTTGACCACATATCCATTAATATGTTAGGTTTCAGGTTTAATTTAAAAGAAGAGAAAGCAAAAGAGAGAAAAGCAACTATGAAGAAAAGCAGTATGTGGTCCTGTTACAGCATAAGCAATCGAAGGGATGACTGGGTTCTTTAAAAGTTATTACAAGGATATTAAAACCACTCTTTAATTTTTTCTCTTGTAGTGTGCTTGACCAGTAAGAATGGAAGCAAGTGGCGTCCTCGCAGGTGCAATTGTTATGGAAGTTCTTCACAAGAATAACTATATGCATTGGAGTGTATTGGTCAAAAATTACTTGTTGGCTCAAGACCTTTGGGATGCAGTGGAGGCTACAGCTGAACCTCCTAAAGGAGAAGACCAAGACTCTGATGATCGGCTCAAGACTTGGAGGAAGAAGAATGCGATGGCTTTACATACAATCCAAATTTCGTGCGGGCCAGAAGCTTTTTCGGTGATTAGAGACATGACTTCAGCCAAGATTGCTTGGGATACTTTGGCAGAAATGTTGACGCCACAGCCATTACTTCCATGTAATTCGCCTGTTCAGTCTGCAAACTCATCCAACAACCCAGGTATACTTGATTCTCTCTCTGTGACAAGCAAAGGTGCTGATCATTTAAGGACTAATTAGTTTACTTTTATAAAAGAAATATATATCCTCATGAAAATTACAGGCATCAATATCAAATATATGTGCAGCAGTGCGGAAATTAAAACTTCATTCTATAACAAAACGTGCTCCAAAGAGGGTTTTTAACTCTAGTGATCCCCTTCGTTGATGGAGCCCTCCAATAATATTGATGGGGAGATATTTTGTGGGGTTCGTTACGCATCGGATTGAATTATTTTTCTTATAAGATCAAATCTGATACATGCTAATGCGCAGTCAATATATCTCATTCGTTTATGCATCTAGCCACCAAGGGTGGAACTACATGTAGACTAGACTGGGCTTGAGCCTGGTGTATGCAAATTTTATAAGGTATTTCCTACTCCCACGAATATTATCCCACCATTTTTTAGGCTAGGTAGCCCATAAAGTCACATACTTGCTGCATATATATATATATTAAAAAGGATTTTTAACTAGTTATAGGTGGGAACTTGACTTCAAGAGTTGATTTGTGTATTTAATAATGTGAAGACTTTGAAGACTTGGAAGAGGAAATGGGTTTGTTAGCTACGGAAGAGAATAGAGAGTATGACTAAATAGTTGACTTGGAAGATGACTTGGGCAACTAAAAAATAAAAAATAGAGAAATAATGAATAAAATAGATTAATGAATGGATGCAAATTGAAACTAATAAATTAATCATAAACTCAAAAGAAAATTAACGCAGGTGAATAAATTATACAAATAAAAAATTATGAGAGCACTAAATTTAATTAAAATGAGAATACAAATTAATGAAAATAATTGAATTATCATAAATTAAAATTTGAAGGACTATAAAGATAAACACAGAAAATAATATTAATTGAAAATATTATTAACTGTGGAAGCTTTGAAAACAAAGTAAGAACTTACAGAAATCTTAGTTCAGTGAAAGCAAGCAATGTCACGCAGGATACTCACACTTTACTCTCACTCACAACTATTGTAGTTGCCTCAGGTCTACAAACTCTGAGAGAACTTTGAAAACTGAAAGAAACTTACAATGCTTACTGAACAAAGCTTGCCGAAAACTGAAATGAAAACTTCTAACTTATAGCCTTGGCTTACAAGAGAAGACAAAATAACTTTTGAACTAACTTTGACTTTAACTTAAGTGAAAAACATTTAACTTAAACTTTGTCGGACAACTTTGACTGGAAGGAAAGGAAAGGCATCTGCTTTCACGTGGGTGAAAGGACTTTAACATCTGCTTTCACATGGGTGAAAGGACTTTAACTTGAAGGGCATGGGCATCTTTGAAAAACCTTTAACTTGTCAGGGCATCTTTGACTTGGAAGGCTTCAATCTTCAGAGAGATCATAAGGATCTTGACTGTCGGGCACGTAATCTGACCATCTAGGCTTGGGCTTCTGACTGAATTGTTGACTAGGCATTTGAATGGAAGAAGATTCTGATTTTGGGCTAGCATCATCATCGTCTTCATCATTCATTTGAGAGACTTGGGCAAGGAGCTGCTGTGCTAATTATGTTAATTCTTTCTTAGATTTTCCTTTAAAGGAGGCATTTGAACTGCTTGGAGAGACCTCTTTAACTGTTTGGAACTGCTTGCAGGCATCTGAATAGGAGGATAATTTGCATTGACTTCATTGATAATATTTCCTAGAATGACTTTGTCCCACCATTTGACTACATAATGGCGGTTCATAATCCTGGTGTCCCAATTAACCTGATAACTCCATTTTAGAATCCATGGAACCTTGTATTTGGCAAAGAAATGGAGAAGCATAGGGAAGAACTTTTCTTGCTTAGTTAATTGATGCTTTTGACTAAAATAATTAATTGTGGGCTGAAGGCCTACTGGAATGATTTCCCAACAGGGGCCAACAATGTTCCACCATTGGAGAAACCAGCATGGAAAATAGGGTTTAAATTTGGCATCAAAGTTCATGAACCATGAATGACTGAAATCCTCGTGCTGATGAAATAAAATTGTATACCAGGCATCAATGTAGTCACCATAATTATAAGTAAGGCCTGATTGAAGTGGCAACTGATCATAGGCATTTTTGCTCCAATGTTCTGGCTTAATGACTTGGCGTATATAAAGGGCATGAAAAATTGTGGCATCTCTTTGTTTATCTTTAATGGGCCTAATATCTGCTGATTGGGATTCATAAAGGATATCCCTATAGAACCTCAATTGCTTCAAAGGATGACTTGGAAAATAGTGCATATTGGGAGGAAAGAACTTCTTAGCTATTTTGGCTGGGTCATTCAAGTCTTCTAAATAAGGCTCAACAACAAAAAGATGGGAATTGCTTTTGGGATGATATCTAGACCTTTGGACTGGGCTTTGAGGGCTTTGACTCTGAGAAGGCATAGGAGTATGAACAATAAAAGGGTCATATTGAGAAGTTAATGCTGCTTGATAATTGGGGCGTAGAGAAGGTTGGCTTAGAGGATTAAATCTATTATTAACTGGAATTGACATATAACCTGGAAAAGGCACAAGTTGGGCATTGGCTTCTGGTTTGGGCATCAGGGTTGCTGGTAGGATTCTGGGTTGACTCTGGCCTGGGCTTGGTTGGCTGGATTGACTGTATTGCATTATTTGCTTGTCTTTCTTTTCTTTTTTTTACTTGACATGGCTCTGGCTTTTTATCCTGTAAAAACTCTCTTGTAAGAAAATCTAGAATACTGTTTTCACTACCTCTCAAATATTCTAGCTCAAAATAAAAAACACTCAGAATTGCTTGCCATCTTGCAAAAATTTGCTTACTAGCTATATTTTTAACATCTTTTTCTAAAACATGCTTTGCAGACTTACAGTCAACACGAACTAAAAACTTTTGATTTAATAAATCATCTTGGAATTTGCTTATGCATAAAACAATAGATAAAATTTCTTTTTTAATAGTACTATAATTAACTTGAGCTTGACTCCAAACACCGGAATGAAAACGAACAATTTGTTCAGGAGACTCAAGGCTTATTCTTTGTTTTAAAATACCACCATAACCAATATCAGAGGCATCTGTTTCAACAATCTTAAAAGCATGAACTGAAGGAATACCTAGGCATGGAAGAGACTTGACATGAACTTTAATTTGCTTAACTATTTCTATATGACTCGGGGTCCAGGCAGGAGGATTGCTCTGGAGACGATCAAACAGGGGCTTACATAACTTTCTTAAATTTTGATAAAAATCGGAAACATAATTTAAAGAACCTAAAAACCTTTGAAGTTGGCTTTTTTCAAGAATTTGATCTGGAAATTTATCAACAAACTGGATAACTCGATTGATTGGGCTTATTTGGCCTTGGCTTATGTTGAATCCTAGAAACCTAACATTAACCTGGAATAACTTGATCTTCTTAGCTGAAATGACTAAACCATTAGATTTAGCTATTTGGAAAAACTTATGTAAATGCTTCCAATGATGTTCTATTGACTCGGAAAAGATAAGAAGATCATCTATGTATACTATGGAAAAATGACTGTAAGCATTAAAGATTTCATTCATAATATTCTGGAATTCACTAGGGGCATTTTTTAATCCAAAAGGCATAACATTCCATTCATAATGACCAAAGGGGGTAACAAATGCAGTCTTATATCTATCTGATTCCTTAATTTGAATTTGCCAAAAACCGCTTTTCATATCAAATTTACTAAATATCACTGCCTTTTCTAACCTATTGACTAAATCTCTTTTATTAGGAATTGGGTATCTAATCCATTCTAAAACCGAATTAAGGGGGTTATAATTGATAACTAGGCGTGGGGCTCCTCTTTCTAACTCAGCATTTTTCTGGACATAAAAAGCTGGACAAGACCAGGGTGACTTACTTTTTCTAACTATTCCTTTGTTGACTAGATCCGTGACTTCGGCTTTGCATAATTCCATTAATTCTTGGCTCATTTGAATTGGACGGGCTTTGGTTGGAATATTCT